TATGGAAGATGGAACGCAGAACCCTCTCGCTGAGCTTCATCCTCGGTGCTTTATATTTTATTTTGCGATCTTTAGGTAAGAGCTCGTTAAGTTGCGGGGACGGCTGGACTCGCGCGCCTCCTGCCTGGGCGCGGGGGCGCAGGAGTTGCAGGCTGCGCCGTCCCGGCGGGCGCGTCCTCTTAGGTGGGGAAGGCTTTGCGGTACCCAGTAGGCACCCCTCTAGCCTGTGTCAGGGAATCAGTTTTTCTAGCTTGTACTTCTTTTCTAGTTTGTACTTTGCATTACAGTTTTAATTGTACCATAATTTGTAAGCCATTTTCCCTCCTAGGTATTTATTCTAAAAGGATATATTCGAGAAGCAGGCATTTGTGTGCGCTTTTTTTTTTCCTGTATTTTTAAAGACATAAATTTAAGAGATAATGCTAAGTACACTAGAGGAGAAAAAAATGCTTGCAAGTCCACCAGACATAAATTACCATCAAATAAAATACTGTTCACATTTGGGTTGACTTACGGTATATTCATTACTTTAATGAATATTTATAATGAATATCCTTATAAAATGTGTTTGTGCTAATTGGATATTTTAATATAAAGTTATTAGTTTTAAAAAACAGATTATGCCTTGTTCAGCTAGGAATACATTGAGACATGCTTCCATGTCAAATACAGATGTGGATTAGCCAGTTCTTAATGACTGTGGGATTTCTTGCTATAGTTCTGTTGTACTAAAAACATTATTTAACGAATCCCCTGATGATGGATATTAAAGTTGTTTACAATTTTTTCTTGAGCATAAAATGTTAATGGCTATTTGTGTATATGTCTGCATTCTTTTTAAAAAAAATTTTTTTTTTTTTAATCTTCACTTATTTACTTGGTGCAGGGTCTTGCTGCACAGTTTGGGTTTGTAGTGCTCCTCCTGTCTCAGCCTCCCCAGCACTGGGATTACTGGCGTGCACTGCTGCACCCGATTTCTGTGGCCTGGAACGTATGCAGTACTGGGGACTGAACCGGGTGCTTGTGTTTGCCAGGCAGGCGCTTAGACCTCCAAGCCATCTCCACAGCCTTCTGTCCACATCTAGTGTTGTTAATGCCTTACGATAAATTATGTGAAGTGGATTGTGGTTTTAAAAGTATGGCACAATTTAACTTCTAACTCAGAATTACAAACTTCCACTATAAAAATTCATTACCCTTAACTTATGCAGTATTAAATATGCCTTTCCCTGGAACCAAATAAAGCTGCTCCCCACCCCCATACTGGAGATTGAAGCCAAACCTTTGCATTGAGCTACATCCCACCACTTTGTATTTTGCACAAGATCTAGCTGAATTACGCAGGTGAGATTTAAACTTGGGGTCCTCCTTTCTCAGCTTCCCGGTGTTAGGATTATGGATCTGCACTTTTTAGTAACTTGCCAGGGAGGTAGCTCAGCAGCACAAGTGCCTGCCTGGCAAGAGTAAGGTCCTGAGTTCGATTCCCAATACAAAAAAAAAAAAAAAAATTCCTCCAGTTTATTGTTTCTTTCACCTTGAGTATAGTGTTTGTTTTTATGATAGACAATGCTGTGATTTTTTTTTTAACTGTCCCATGCTATAGAAACATAGTAACTCTGTTGTAGTGCCCACCTTTTTTTATTTGTATTTATTTTTATGTATTTTTAGTACAGGGTCTACAGGGTCTCACTACATAGATTGGACTCGTAGTGATTCAGTCTCCCAAGTGCTGGGATTACAGGCGCATGCCTCCTCGCCCGCTCGCATTGGCCTTCTCAGCGCACCCTGGGGGTGGGGCTGGCACTGCAGGCCAGGGATGAACCCCAGCTGCTGTGCTCTGCCTAAGCAGGCGCTTTAGTCCACTGAGCTATCTGGCCGGCCCCCTTTTTCATGCTTAGAATCCCATCTTGTACCAAACTGCTATCTGAATTTTAAGTTTCCCTTTCCACCATAGAAATCCTTTAAATTGAAAATTGGCTGAACCAGGGACACTGGGTTACTTTTTTTTTTTTTTTAACGGTACTGGGGACTGAACTCAGGACCCTGCATTTGCCAGGCAACACTTAAGATTTTTGAAGGAAAGATATTGCTAGGTATTTTGATTAATATCCATTTTCATTGGCAAGACACAAGTTGCTCTAACTGCTGTGTTTCTAAGAGAAAGATTGTCTTGTTTTTATAGAAAGAAAAAGATACAGTGACCTATGGATTTTTCAAGTTTGCATTTTATTGTTCGCATACATGTCTCTACTACTGGGCTGGAGAGATGGCTCAGTGGTCTGAAGCACCTACTTAGAACAAGCTTGGCAAAGCATCAGGGACCACGGTTCAATCCCCCAGCACCACATGCCAGCCAGCCCCGCCCCCTGGTGGGCTGAGCTGGCCACACACACACCTCTCTCTCTCTCTCTCTCTCTCTCTCTCTCTCTCTCTCTCTCTCTCACAAAAAAAAAAAAAAAAAAAAAAAAAAACAAAACATGTCTCTACCTACGTTCAAGGGGAAAAAATGAGAATCTGACATAATTTAAACACAAAAGAACAAATACTTTTGATTATAGTATAATGTACATCCCATTAAAAAAAATGTAGTGTCAAAAATCCTAACTCAGACTTCCTACAAAGGACTATTTGTACATATAAACCCATTGAAATAATTCCATTTTAAAAATGGAAAAAGTAAAATCTAAACTGTACTTGAGTTTAACACTTAGTCCCTACTATAGGTCAGACTTTAGAATTTGTACACTGAACTCTGATAAGTAATTTTTCTAATATACTCTCAGGATTTTTTTCAGTCCATCTGACCTTTTTCTCTAGTATTACCAAAAATGAAGTCACCAAATCATACCCTAGATTTGATAGTATAGACTAGTGAATTTTAAAAAGATTGTATTTAAAGTGTGAGACCCTGATCGTCTCGTGTCTGCAGAATCAGTGAGTGCCTTTCATCCTGTATTTCATCCATTGTTTTAGAGTTGACTTTAAAATGAGGAATGATTTAAGCTCTTTTATTTTCCCTAGGTTTTTAATGTGAATATTAACGCCAATCAAGATACACTAAAATAAGGTAAGAAATAGAAAAGTAATGCAGGTTTGTCCTTATGTAAGATATTCTGCCATCCTCCGTAATTACCCTAAAACAGTTTGATGATAGAACCCATATTTGTACCTCTGGAGTCTTAAATATAGGATTGTTGATTGGTAAATAAAACTTTGGCTCTCAGGAGGAGGAGATAATTGTAAACATGGGCCACACACTACAGTGAGAGAACTATTCCTGAAACAGAAGTCTCAGTTAATTTGCTTTCATCTTTATCTTGTTACAAAGGCCAGAGATATTATTTAAGAACTTGGAAGTCTTTTGAGTACATACTAGTTTTTTATAAGTATTACCTTTGCTTTCAGAACAAGCAAAGGCCCACCTCCTTTTCCTGTCAGTCTGTAGTAAACCACACAGGAGCTCATGTCTGAAACCAGAGGTTATCCTGAAAGCCTCCCTACTGTGGTACTACACACTGAACACAGACCTGCTGCTTCTGCTTCCTTACTGTCATCCACTTCCGCCCACGCCCCTTACTACAGATGCTCCGGAGCACCATTTATTGCCTTGCTTATGCCAACAGCCTCCTTTCTGGTTCCACTGCCCTCAGTTTTACCCATTTCCCACCCAAAGTATACTCTGTGCATTATTTTTGCTATATAGAAGTCTAACTTAAATTTTCTTTACTGGCCTCTCCAGGCAAAATTAAAGCTTTTAAAGAAAAATACAGGCTCTCCAAATATGACCCTTTTTTTTTTCTCAGCTATGCCTTTGTCACTCAATCTGTATTATGTATAGCTGAATAATATACCTCTAACCCTTTACAGAAACTGTCTTTTGCCCCTGATGCAGTGGTGTGTCACGTTAGCCCTTTCCCAGGCGTTCTGCAAGATTAAGCCTAAATAGCTCCTTTCTGTTAAAACTACCCTTTAACTATAGGTGGTCCAGATGTTGGAAACACTGGCGTGCGAGCCAAGAATGGTTTTTACTTTTCTAAGTGGTTGTCAAAGAATATAGATCAGATCTTTTTTTTTTTTTTTTTTACAGAACCTAAGATTTTACTTTACTCTAGTTCACAGAACATTTACCTCTGCACTAGATTTGCACGTGTGAGGACGGAGAGATTGTGTCTTACTGATGTAAATTCACACTGGCGTGACACCAACTTAATCCTTAACTGACTGAACTTAAAACATACGTATAAATTCAGTCGTAGAAAATAAGACATGTAGGCACAGATTTTTATAGGAACTATTCAGATGAGAATAGCAACAAATTAGACATTTGTGGAATCAAGTTTTAATGAATTTAAACACAAGGCACATGTTTCTAGATGTACATAAATTATAATCACTTTTTGCTTTTTCTTTTACTCCTTTGGACAGGAATGACAAAATGTTTGGTCTCAATCTTTTGTTGTTCACTGGCCTTGAACTCACTGTATAGTAGTGTACTCGGAACTCACAGTGGTCCTCCTGCCTCAATCTCCTGAGAGCTGGGATTACAGGCATGCACAACCACAGCCAGCTTGGTCTCTTTCTTAAGAACTTCCTTAATCAGGCCTTACAATTTTTTTTTAAGAGGTGATCGTGAGAATTTCCACAACTTCCTGCAATGAAATGTTCTGCATTTCTTTTCTGCCTGCCTGTACTAACAGGTTGTAGTCGCTTAGACCCTCATGTGTTTGCTGTGATTAAATGATGCTTTTAATTTCCCCGTCTACACAGACCTTCTTCTTTGGTTTCTCCAAAATAGTATTCTGTTCTTCAAGTGTGTCACAACAGTCCCTTTTGGCTTTTGTTTCTTCCTTATGGACTAAATGTGGGTGCTCAATGCGTCCTCTACGAACAAAATGCTGGATCCGGGATTCCAGTCCTTGGCACTTGGGGCGATCCATGAGGGGTCTATACTTGCGCATTTTTACTCCTTCTACAAAGGCACTGGTCTGCTTTATGACAGAGGGCTTACTGTTTCTCCGTTCTGTTGTTCCATCCATCTTCGGTCCTGTTGTACAGGGTAACACAACAGAGTCCAACCCTTGCAGCATGTTATATAACATGTGGCTTTTGACGGCATGATTAGCCCATAGCTGCTGCAGGTGAGTAACATTGAACTCCTGAACCTCTTGATCATGGAGCCACTTGACGTTTTCAAACTTACAGTCATACAAGACTAGAGGAAACTCCACAGCCATGCTAGAGAAAAAGAAACGGTTATGAGAATACATAACTACCAACGTTCTTCAAATCCTTAAGTTTCGTTGAGTTAGAAGATGGGGGGACACCGATGTTGGTGTTACCTAACAGCTAAGCTTAAATACAAACTCTATTTTTTTTTAAATGCAATAAAACATGGGTCAATATGACATATGCTAGGTAAGTATCAGTGATAACAGATCACCTAGAAATGAGTTGACATGTCTATCACATTGCTACAAAATTTTTAAAAGTTGATAGTAATTATCCAAATGTATTGGTGGCTTTCTTGGCTTGCTAATGAATTAGCCATTTACAAGTCCATTTATTAAAATACAGGATGACCAAAAATTGCATACTTTTTCATTAATTTTTATAATAGGAAATATAAAAATGACAATTTTGTCAAATTTGTTCAATAATTTTTGTGTACGGTATATCTTAAAACATTCAATACACAGTGTAGTGTTACAATATCTTTCCAAATTCTTTTTGTATTAATTGTCTTACTTTAAACAACATACTTTACACTGTTGTGTTGGCTTTTCCTTTCCTGTGGGTGATAAAATTTCTATAAAATGTCTCTCTACTAAACATAATGGTGACAAGGTCAATAATGGATGTCCTGGTTGGCTTTTTTTTTTTTTTTTTTTTTGCTTGTCTCTTTGCCCTTCTTTTTCTTTTTATTTTTTCCCATAATTTTATTGAGAAACAAATAGCAATGAGACAGTTCCAAACCAAATTGGTAGGACAGTTTCAATAATTAACACATTGCATACATTCTTCCGTGGCTGGCATTTCACTAGCCCTTATCTTTCAATTATTTCATCTACTAGATCTAGCTTAGACCTAATCTAAATTGTAAATGACTTTTGAACCCCCTTGTTTTGAATAACAAAACAAGTTCCATATTGTTTGGTCCAGAAAGTACATTATAGTATTTTTTCCCTCACTTTTTGATAGCTTGTTAGACAATGGTCAGCTCTCACAACACCACCCATACAAGTTCTATCATTTCTGTATCAGGAATAGTTGACTTTTTCCTGATATGCTAACATTTCTCCCTTTTTCAGTTTTTTGTTTTGTACATCTTTTGGTAATTCTTTCCTATTCAGTCAAAATATTCCAAATGGGTCCATTTTGTATAGCAAAAGAATATCACTGAGTGCTGGAGAAGTACAAAAATTGTATTTAATGTACTTATTATAAGTACATTATAGATTTTAGCACAAACGTTATTTTTCACAAATGTGATTTAGTAAATAAAATAACCATACCTTATTAGATTTCATTAGAAACAAATATCAAGGCTAATACAATATAAATTTAAAAATGCAAAAACAGTAAATATAAAACAAACATACAAGTGTTATGTTATGCAAGCAAGAATCAACTAGTTGAAATGACATTTGCCCAAGCAATGCTTAGAATGATCAATACATGAACGCACTGCCTGAGTGACACTTTAAAGTGGTTAATGTTATGTATGTGACCTCAGCCTATTCTCAAAAAAATGAAAAAATTCAAAAACAGAGTAGCATATGGCTATTTAATAATACAAAACCAAGGAAGATTTAATACAAAGTTTGAATGTTCATGTTTTAATTTCATTACAAGCTAACAATAGCTGTTAACATAAATTTAAAAAAAGATGTGAGAATGAATGTCCTTTTAACTAAAGAGCCTGGTCCAAACGTGTTTCCTTACTAATGTGGTAAAATGAGAAAATGAGACGATACTACGCCGAGCACAGCCCACATGTTCCTCACATTCTGAAAGTGACAGTAAAAGCTTCAACACAGAATCAGTGACTCAGTGCTACATTCAGTCAACATGGAGGAGAGTGTTGTGCTGTATGGTTTAGTTTGGTTTGGTTTAACTTACCTATATTGGGGCTTCTGGGGATTTTTCTCTATATTCAGCAACTCATCAATAACTTCTGGCTTCTCCATTCCTTGGCCAATCAGAAAGAGGACAGCCATCATACAGCGGACTTGATGATAAAGGAAAGCCTGCCCAGTCACTTCAAATTGACATAACTGGAAAGGTTCTTGCCATCTCTCCTCACCTAGGCTTTGCCCCACTAGTAGTACTTGAGCAGACAGAATAGTCCTCTGAAAATTAATCACTCCATTCGCTACATCCATTTTACACAAGTTCCTGAAATCATGGGTACCAACGTACCTCTGAGCTGCATCATTCATCTTTACAATATCTAAATCAGCGCGAGGGAAAAAATAGCGGTAAGTGCGTTCCAGACAGTTGAACCTAGCACTGAAGCTCGGTTCTACAGGAGCCCAGGCCAGGACACGGATGTCTGGAGGGAGAACCCGATTGAGGATGTGGGTATAACGGATCTCTTTGGCATCATCGACTTCATCTTTGAAGTTAAGATCTTGTGAATCTTTGTCCCTTGGAAACTGAGACCGCAGGTCAAGAGAAATCACCTGTGGAATTAGGGGAAAGATAATGAATTCTAGAGATCCAATAAAATAATCTCAGTTCTCAGTATGTACACCCAGATATCCTGGTCCTGCTTGACTTGAGAAACAGTATAGTGATCCTTACCTGACCAAAGGCACTAACTCCTTTGTCCGTCCGCCCACATCTGTGATAGTTGGAAGTCTGTCTGCTTTCTATCAGTCGAGTTTTGGTCAGAGCCTCAAATAGCTTCTCTTCGATGGTGTTGTCTGTATTTTCCTGACTAGCAAAGCCCTGGTATCCCCAGCCTAGATAGGCTATTCTTAGGGCTACATGTCTTCGGCTGTGGGCACTGAAATCAAATGCACGCTTAGCTTTTGCAGATCCTAAAGAATTTTCTTTAATGTTTGGGTCTTTGATGTTGTTTGACTGTTCTTTTTTAAGTCTTTGTACTTCTTGCTCCAGTTCTTGTACTCTTTTTAAGAGTTTCTCAATCTGGCTTCTGTCAGTGTCTGTTTCAGCCATGGTACGGCAGCCCCAGGAGTAAACGAACCCTACCGTTCCACCTACTTGAAAAGAAAGCAAATAATAACAGTTTCAGTGTTACTTTCTCTGGTAATATCACTGTCACATTCAGATCGCATGCGAGATTAAATTTGATGCTGAAGAGTAAGAATATAGATTTGTAGGGCCGGCCAAATAGCTCAGTGGATTAAAGCACCTACAAACAGGCGCAGGGGTCCGGGGTTCGATCCCCAGGCCTGCCGTGCCGGCCCCGAACCCGGGGCACGCTGAGAGGACAATTGGGACTGGGCATGGTGGCTGGTGGCACATGCCTGTAATCCCAGCTCATGGGAGGCTGTAAACAGGCGTATGTATCACTATAAGTCCAAAGTAGTAGTGAAACCCTGAACACCCTGTAGGCTCTTCACTAAAATACAAGAAAAAAAAAAAAAGAATATAGATTTGTGCTTGCCCGAAGATATAAAGAACAGCTAATTACTCAATTCTCTTAAAACTTACCTGACCAATGTATATGGGAAAAGAAAAATATTTATTTAGTTTCTTTTTATTCTTTTAAAAATTGTGGGCCATTACCTATAGATTTCATTTTCTTAGTTTTCATTAACAGATGAATTGAGAACTTGTGTTACTGATATTTTCCTTATATTTCCTTTTGGTTTCTCATTATATTTGTTCAAATTTTCTAATCATTTCTCTTTTTTTTTAATTTTAGAGAAGAGACTACAGGGTGTTCAGGGTCTCACTACTAGATCAGACTTGTAGTGATCCACCTGTTTACAGCCTCCCAAGAGCTGGGATTACAGGCGTGTGCTGCCACGCCCAGGGGGCGGGGCCAGCCTGGGAATGGGACCCCTGGCCCCTAAGCCTGCTTATAAGTGCTTTAATCTATGAGCTATTTGGCTGGCCCCATGAGTTCTTTCTATGGGCTACTTATAACTGAGTTTCTACTGCTTTTCAGTATCAGATATTCATTGTGTACATTCTGTCATCTAATATTCTATTTTATAGGTGGTACAACAGAAGCCAGCCTAACTGAAGACATATTATGAATGTTTATATTTCACATTGGCAGTAGAAACCTAGAGACAAGATTTTCTTATATTAAAGTTTTGATGGCAGAAAAAAGGTAATTAAGCAGTATTCATCTTTTTAAGCAAAAGTACTGTTCTGACAAGATTTTTCTATGTTACCAGTTACATAAGTCAGTTTAATGATGCAATTTAGATATCCACATTGTAATCCTGGTATACAGTTTTGGGTCCTTTGATTTTCCTTGTCTGTAGTTCAAACCTTTAAATGTGAAAATGAAACTATAAGAGTAGCGGAAGAAAATGCTGAATTAGGGCCAGGGAGATAGCTCAGCAGCATAAACACTTGGCTGGCAAGTGCAAGGTCCCGAGTTTGATCCCCAGTATGACAAAAAAAAAAAAAAAAAGCTGAATTACTTCACATAAACTCTTAAAATATTGTAGTGGGAAAGGCTTTTCTACATGCAGAACTTTAGAATCTCAGAAACAGTAGAAAACCAAAAAATGTGGGGCCAGGGAGATGACTCAGTGGAATAAGCGCTTCCCTGGCAAGTGCAAGGGCCTAAATTCAATCCCCCGTTCTCCAAAAAAAAAAAAAAAAAAAGAAGAAAACCAAAAAATGTGAAATACCTAAAAATAAAAATTACTACTACTTGCAAACTATAAAGTTCAAAGATAAGCTGAGAGGTAGAAAATGATGGCAAATTAATATATATATAGGAGATATATAATAAATGTATAACCAATTTTTAACAAAAACAAGAGAAGGAGTCCAACCTGAGAGGTACGTGGGCTAGATCAACCACTTCGCAGAAGAAAAAAAAGCTTACAAATAAAGCAGTGTTCGGTTTTACTCAAGTTAAATAAATGGAAAGTATGTAAGAACAATTTTTCATAGAACTGATTACAAAGACAAGAAAGTGGGATAGAATAGCACTTTGGAGAAGCAGTAGAGAACTAAGCTTTATTAATATATTATTGGCATAACTTTGTAGAGGTAAGCATTTTAGCCACTTTCAAAATTGAACATCTACACAGTATGTTTGAAACTTACAAGATCTTCGCTGGTTTTTAACAAGTGACTATAAGCCTAAATTAGGTCAGTAAGAAACTGCCTGAATAAATTCTAGTACATCTACACACTGGAATTTGATGCAACTTTAAACAAAATGAGGTAAGTCTACATGTGCTAGGTCACCATGAATCTCTTAAGATTCAGAGCTCAGTTACAGTGTATAAAAAATGTACATGTGATATGGAAAATTACAGACAAATCATGCAGAATTGTCTTTGAGATTGAAACGGGCAGGGAGAGGAAATATCTTTGCTTAAAATAGTAAGGGTACATAAGGAAGTAGGCAATAGCTACTTGTCTTAAATCTAATGTAAAACACTGGCTATTCAGCTGGTTGATTAGAATTTAAAATTCTGTGGTAGGTTACTAGAATGAACAGACTTACTTGGTAGCTAAAGGTGTTAAAAAGTAGTAAAGCCCAGGGAGTAGATGCTACCACTCTACTACTTTCCTGATGGTTGCTTAGGTGGTGTCACACTTACGGTTAAAAGCAGGGACTCAATCTGACACTGAAAATCCAGCTGCGCTACTTACTATCTGTAACTCTGGAGAAGGTATTTAACTTCTGTGTCTTGTTGCTCAGCTGTGGAAAGGAACTAAGCCCACAGTTGTGATGATTACATGACTTAATAAATGTTAAGCATGTAGAATAATCCCAGATATGTAAAGTACCCTTTAAGCACATTACATTAAAATACACCAAGCAGCATATCCTAGAACGTGTAGTCTTAGGCTTTTATTATACTAGAACTCATCTTGCCATAGGAGCTGCTAAAGGCAGCAAGGCAGTAGAAGTGGGAGTGAATGAGAACAGAAAGCAGGCAGCAGGCTACACAGAGCTGAGTTAATGACCCTCTTAAACTGTCTCAATACTACTCCTATACTCATAATTACTGAGTTAATAATGCCTTAGCCATTTGACTCTGAAATTGAAGTGGAGTGAGTTAGAAATTTATCAGAAAGCTGACCAGTGTTCTCTCCTGCAGACAGTCGTACGGTGTTGGGGAAGCAATGGAGCAACTCACAGGACCTGAGAGACAGAAGTGGGCCAGTATGGACCCTGAAGAAAGAACGTTAGCAGCTGCCACAGCTTTTGCGCATATCTGCGCAGGGCAGGGTGAGGGAGATGTCAGGAGAGAGGCCCAGTCTATCCAATATGATCCCTACAGTAAAGCCTCGGTAGCCCCAGGGAAGCAAACTGCGCTTCCTGTGCAGCTGCAGCACCCCCACGTAGACAGTCCTGGCACCTCGCAAACAGTCTCAGAGGCCTCTCAAAGACTCCGAAAGCCAGTGATGAAGAGAAAGGTGCTGCGTAGAAAGCCAGATGGGGAAGTGTTAGTGACAGATGAGTCCATTATCAGTGAATCAGAGTGCGGCACAGAAAGTGATACAGATCTCTGGGACTTAAAACAAAGGTTGATGAATCTGCAGTTCCAGGAAGACAGGGAGTCCCCAGTGGATATTTTGCAAAACTTTAATCAGCCACATGAATATCAAGGGATTTCACAAGATCAATTTATTTGCTATCTACAAGGAGAGGGAATGGGCCCTCCAGCTTATGAACAAGACCTGATTGTTGCCAGCAGACCCAAGTCCTTCATTCTCCCAAGGCTGGACCAGTTAAGCCGAAACCGGGGCAAGACAGACCGGGTAGCCCGCTATTTTGAATACAAAAGGGAATGGGACTCAATGCGGTTGCCTGGTGAAGATCACAGGAAGGAGGTACGGTGGGGTATCCGAGAAAGGTTTCTTTCCAGAGCAGAACCCCAGCCTAAGCCTCAGCGTGTGTATGTTCCAAACAATTACGTAGTACCAACTGAGAAAAAAAGATACGCCATTCGTTGGGGTGTTCGTTGTGACCTTGCAAATGGTGACATGCCCAGGAAGCTTCCCTTCCCTTTTTCTTCATAACTCTTTAAAACCTGTCTCTCCTTCAGGATTATTTAGGATATCCTGGTTCTTTATCCCTTTCCTTTTAAATAGAAACAACTGCCTTAAAAGTTCACAGAATGTTTTATAGAATAAGGATTTCACCCACCATTAGTCTTCCCCTGCTGTGTGTCATACAGCTATCAGATACAACTTAACTTCCAAATTGCCACTGTCAAATACAGAAATTACAAGAAAAACCTATCTGGGCTTCCTATGTTGTAAAATTAGTATGCACCATTTGTGTTTGAAAGCCTTTTTATTTTGGGCCAGTGTGAGTACTGTGTCTAAATGTGGTTTAAAGTTGATGGGCATTAAGTTTACCTATTAAAGAATTTTGGAAACTATTAAAGCATGTTTGAATCTTAATTTTAGCGAATGCTTCCCAAAGTAAGATCTCAAACCTAGGTTGTGAGTCTGCCTCTGGTCATACTCTCCATCACACTCTCATCACCGAAATAATGAGCACCAAAGGGAGGGAACACAAACCTTTTCCGTACAATGCTAGAGGAAAGAAAGATCGGGACAGAAATCTCCATTATTAAAGTAGTAAATCCAGGCAACTATGTAAAATGCTTTTGAATACATGCCTCAAAATAACCCCTGACATGGGATCCTTAAAGTTTTCTTTCAGAGATAATTTAGTGATAGAACTCCAGTTGTCAGTTCTGGAATGCTATCCTTTCTAGAGTTTGCTACAGATTTGCTTTGGAACTATACCTGTCACTTGAAGGTCATTCCTGCCCTACAACATAATTTCAGAATACTAATGTTTGGAATCACAGACAAACATAAATGCCAAAATTAATCTAAATTATTTGGGTAGAGATCAAAATACTAATTCTGGTTACCTTATTCTGCAGTTTACATTCTTGACAGTTCTAATTTGAGTAATATCTGAGATCTGGAAATTATTTTTAACTGAAAAGCTTGCAGGGGGAGAGCAGAAATAGCCGGTTGAAAAAATTGAACATGAAATGACCACCATTGCTACAACACATACTGTATATTTTGAGTCGACATAATATATTCAGCCAGCTTGTTAGGCACGTATCAGGAGGAGATGTTATCTGTCTCGGAAGTGGGACCTACTCACTTCAGGTATGTAAAAGTTGCAACCTGTCCACCAACAACGGATGTCTCCTTAAAAGGCGGTGTAAGACCATGGAAACTAACGATGCAAGTGAAGTGAAGCATGTAACAGGCAGAAATCCATCTACTTTTACAAACAGCCCGGGAAAATTGAAAACTGGGTCATTTGTTGTTTTTAAAACCAATTACATGGTGGGTTTGAGGGGGGGTTGGTTGGTTGGGTTTTTTTACAGTTAAGTGAATTTCTTTTGGAGGGTGTTAAAATTGCCAAAAATCGAAGTTACCGTAGGTTATCTTTGTTTAGTCCAATTATTATCTGAAGAATTAGGCCCGGAAGCGAGGTTAGTGAGTCAAATTTTCTGTGTGCTTCTCTAGCGCACCACGCTTTCCTCAGGGTGAGCTGCAGTAGCTTCGAGACATTACATGGCACACGGGGAGGGCCACCAAACTGCCACGAAGGTAAACATGTGAGACGCATTTACTGAAGCATCAGATGTTTAACACTTTAAGTTTTAAAAAAGCGAGTCAATCTCAAAAATAAATGAGTGAAAAAATATATATATATATATATTTCCTAATGGTAAAAGATTAAGAGACACAATAATTATGTTTGGTACAAATTCCCTATGAAGCGTATGATCATTATGCACTATCTAAAATATAATATTGAAAAGGCAATTTCGGCGTTTAAAGCAATTCTCCAAACGATCTGAAAATTGTTGCCACTCCTCCTTCCCCTCTCACAGCCTACTGGGCCCCCGATTTCTAGATTTTAAGTTTCTGAGCACATTTTTCGTGCAGCCCAGATTCAACTCCAGTCCAAAGACTCTAAACTGCTGAGTCGAATTAATTCGACTTTCTTCCAGAAGTACCAAGCCCAAAAGAAAAATAAATGATCCTAAGCGAGGTTCCACGTCCACACCCCAGAGCTTTCTTGAGAAGCCCAATGTATGGAAAGGGAGGGTGTGGAAATAACCCTTCAGCCACAAACCTACCTGCACACTTACCTTCCTGGGTCGCGGGCCTCGCGGCCTCCGGAGAAGCAGGAAGTTGTTGCTGGCGCTCGCAAGGCCTCACGGGAGGCGCCGCGCTCGGTTGTGGGAAATGTAGTTCCGAGGAGGAGTACAAGGTTGAAGCCGAATCTGCAACCTGGAGGGTCTCCAGGGAAGCCACCGTTTTCTCTACCCCTACTGGACAGGATGTAGAGCCTATGGTAGTACAAAAACAAAAAGAATGTCTAGTGTTGTGCTTAAAAAAAAGAGAGAGAAATAGAAAAGAGCTAACTTGCAAATATCTACTAAACTTACAGCAAAACTGAAAGTCTTGGCCCGGGGTTTTTTTTGCCTAGTTTAATAGTAAAAAGTATCTATTCAGACAAACACGTTTACGATTAGAACCCAAAACTAAATACTAAGAAAGAAATAACCTTCAAACAAAATACTGAAGAACCCTGACTGGCGGAACAGGATGGGCAGCGTTGCTTCAGCACCACGGAGAGAGCATTGTGACAGTTTGTTGGGAATTGTGGCTTGGTACCCAATTCCAGAGACGCTAAGTCAACTCCCAAAATTCTAGCTAGAAAAGTGAAAAAACTGAGTGTTTTTGTCCAAATTTAGTCTTCTGTGCCAGGGGGCTACCCTGGATTGTGCAAATACATGCAGAGTATAGCTACTCTGAAAGAAAAAGTTCGCTCGGAGTTGCTTTAGCAAAAGACATCTCAGAATAAAAAGTAAAACACGCTGCTGTAGGGAAACAGCACAGGAACCGAGGGCAGGAACAGGAGTTAGCACTGCAACTCTGTCCTCTTTCCGCAACTTGCGCATTCAGTGCTTTCATCAGATCAAACTTCTCGACGTTCCTGTGCGATTTACTAGCTTTTCTTACACCTTTTAAAGTGCAGGCGGAAATGCCAGGGACAAAACTTGGGTAGAAAGCCTGAAGCAGGCTCTGAGTCGCAGCCTCACCTCCGGGAGTACTACAGTCTGGGCACCGCGAGGCGGGGTAGAGGATGTGGAACTCGGATCACTAGAATGCAGCCGCCACCTAAAGTCCCCAGCGGATGGGCTGACCCCGCAGAGGTCAGCGGCTGGCCAGCATTTACTGCAGCGTGCCTCCTCCCTCCTGGCGGATCGCAGGCTCCGGGAATCTTCCGGCTCGCGTCCCCAGCTGCTCCTCTGCGCTCCTCCCCGCCCCTCCTCGGCGGAGCCAGCGCGCCTGCGCGCCGCGCGGCGGGTGGTCGCGGCGCTGGGCCTGCCCCCGGAGCGCGCCCATTGGCCGCGGAGCCGCCCGAGCCCTGCCTCGAGCCCGGCTGGGAGCACGTGCGGGGGGCGGGAGCAGCGAGCGCAGCTATGGCGTCGTTACTTTGGGCAAGCGACGCAGGGGCGGCGGACGGCGAGCGGCTGAGCAGCCAAGTAACCGCCACCGAGCAGGGGAGGGAAGGGGCGGGGGCGACGGCCGGGCCTGGCAGAGGGAAACCTCCTGGGGACAGGCGGGAAGCGCCTGCTCCCGTGTGAAGTGGGGTGTCAAATTGTGGAGCGGGGCGTGGGGTGGGTTTGGAGGAGGCCACGGAAAACGACTCTGAGAGATCAGACCTTCGCTTTGAGTGGGCCAAATGAAGAGACCTGGAAATCCGGGGAAGGAAAGCAGCTGATGCGTAGTCCTCTGAGTGTTCTTCTGTAATTTAGCCATTCAGCTGGCCGTCTTCTATTTACCAACACGCTTTCTTAGTCGCCATCCTCTTGTCGGTGCTCCAACCCCCACCCCATACTGTCCATGTTTAAGCTAGAGGCCAAACAGGAGCTTCACGTGCAGAGACTGCACAAGGTCTCTGATATTAAATAATTCATGCAGAAGCCCTGTTCTGCAAAGGAATCAGTAGGTACCTAACATTGCAAGGGAAACCATTGCTGGGGGAGGTCTTCCTTGAACTATATCCGTTTCTTGTTGGTGGAGGACCGCTGGGCAGCTTCCTAATACTGGTTAAAATTTGTGTCTTTCAATAGTTTTCAAATCTCATCCATCCCCGGAAGAACCTTCTGGGTATTAAGAATACCACAGTCCCAAACATAGGTGAGTGTTGCTAAGGTAAAGCTGACTGGCCTCAGTTAGTTAAAAAGCATTGCTAGCATCAAATCCCTGCCAGCTGAAACCTTTTGACTTACCTTAATTTAACATTGAACGCCCACTGCTACGTTCTCAATCATTTTTATCCACTTTTGGACGAGATGAGTCTTTTGGTATGCACTGTAGAGCTGGGGGAAAAAAATTGGAATGGTACACTCTACATTTCTGCTCAACATTTACCTATATTTATTGTTTCTTTTCTACCCATCTAGATGATTCTCTTAATCCTGAAGATGATGATGAAGATGATATAGGTAGGAGATAAATTCATCTGCATATATCCGCTAGCATCCTGTTTGGGTTTATCATTACTTTTACAATGTGAAGGACTGAGGGGCCGGGAGGATGGCTCAGTGGAATAAGCGCTTCCCTGGCAAGCGCAAGGGCCTGAGTCAATCCCCGGTTCTGCCAAAAAAAAAAAGAATGACTAGTATCTCAGAAAACAACTTTGTTTCTATTTTGTTTATGAAGAGTGACTATGAGGAGAAGTACTGAATTAGGAGAGGGTGTATTTCTTGAGAGGACGCTCAAATGGAATATGCGGGAAGTGAATTAAGAATTTCCAGCTAGCAGGGAAGAATTAGGTGTGGTGAATATAGCTGTTGGTAGTTTGAGATTAGAGGACGGTGTGGTGGTAGAGCATGACAAACTGGATCTTCATGAAAGAAGTGAGTCCCAGTGCTATGTCATTTTTTCTAGAACTTTCTTTTAGAGGAAAGATGAGAGTAGGCGTAATTACTTGATATGCAAGCACTGAATGATAGTAACTTATTAGATGTCTTCAGGAGACTTTATGGCCCCCTTTTTAATTTTTCCTTTTCTAGTGGATTTGGCAGCTAATTCACTCTTAAACAAGTTAATTCGTCAGTCCTTAGTGGAATCCAGTCACCTAGTGGAAGTCTTGCAAAAGGATCCCAGCTCTCCACTCTACTCAGTAAAAACATTTGAAGAACTACGGCTGTGAGTATTTTAACTCTTTTAGTGTGGGAAATACCAAAGCGTAGCACAGAATAAACTATGAATAATAAAAGCCTGTCATGATTGCCTTGAAGAAGTGTAGTGCTGGTGAGATAGCTCAGAGGTCTAAGGTGCATGCTCAGGCAAGCTTAGGTGAAGCACAGGGACTATGGTTCAATCCCCAGCACCAGTGCCACGCCAACCCCACCCCCCAGGGCAGGCTGAGCAGCCACCAAAAAAGTGTGTATTTTGCATGCAATTAAAATATACCTCAAAGGGGCCGGCCAGATAGCTCAGCAGACTCATGCGCCTGCTTAGGCAGAGCGCAGCAGACGGGGTTTGATCCCTGGTCTGCCATGCCAGCCCTGCCCCTGGGGTGCACTGAGATGTTGATTGAGACTGGGAATGGTGGTGTGCGCCTGCAATCCCAGAGCTTGGGAGGCTGAACACAAGAGAATCGCTATAAGTCTGATCTACATAGTGAGACCCTGTAGACCCTATCCTTAAAATACAAAATAATAATAATAATAATAATAATAATAATAAAATATCTCAAAAACACTAGGATACTCTAATTGTCCAGAAAATTGAGAACTTTTTTTTTGGGGGGGAAGGGGGTTATTTTGTTGTCTTGTTTTTGAGAAAAGTCTCACCATGTAGTCGAGGCCAGTCTCAAACACAATCCTCCTGACAGCCTCCCAAGTGCTGGGATTACACAGCAGTCAAGAAGGGGTTTTTGTTTGTTTGTTTGTTTTTTAAATGTATTTAGTACAGGGTCTATAGGGTCTCACTACACAGGTTGGACTTGTAGTGATCCTGCTGTTTTCAGCCACCCAAGCTCTGGGATTACAGGTGCGCACCACCCTGCCCAGTCTCCAGGCAGGAAGTTTGGATGGTAAAATATTTCAGTCTTGCAGTAGAAAGGCAAGTAGCTGAGCCAGGTATAGCCGTACTGCCTCTGTGTGTATCAGAATTCAATATCCTGTACCATCCCCTTTGGATAAGTTATAGACCATTATTTTCTTAATTATATTTTGTTTCAGATATTATTAAAATGAATAACTTTTCCAAGTCATCTTGAATTCCCTGGGGATTTATCAGCTGACATTAAGGAAAAGTATTTTAACAAAAAGAGAAAGTTGCAAATATGTGCGACCAAACAGGTCCGTTTTTCCCACCGTGCACCGTGGCCCAAGTGGACCTGGTTTGGTAGCATTTTGGAAAGTCATCCAGCAGGCAAGTCAAGACTGACCTTTTTTCCGTGCCCCCCTCAGCCTGTTGCTGGGATGGAGAGCCTGTGGACAAGTCTGAACCAGTGCTGGGCCACTCACCCCAGGACTTTCCCCAGCTCTAGAAAGAATTTCTGGGCCTTAAAGAGCCCATATTCTGTTGAGTCCCTTGAGTACAAGTAATCAGATTCTTATTTCTCCCCTCCAGTTTGGCCTTCATTATAAGGGTCTTAGTTTTGGGGATGCCCTGGTTCAGTAACATATGGATACATATAGTGCATGGCAAAAATCCAAAATTTTAATGCCCAGATATTTTCTAAGTGGTAGGAGAGGCTACTTATGATTTAAAAAATTCATTACCAGTCATCTGCAGGTTCAGCTACCAGTCAGGGACACCCACGCAGGCCAGTCCCTACCAGCAAAAGTGCTCCCGCCAACTTGATTCATCCTTGTTCTAACATTTTTGGGTAAGATTCCAAGAAAGAAGTACTTTATCCTACTGCCTTACGAGGGTAAGGTAATATAATGAGTGTCAGAGAACTGGTAAGAGTCCGCTCAGTAAAATGTCTTTTCTGAAAATTGCTATTAAAAAGTTATTTGTGAAAAACAACTAGGTAATAAATGTCACTTTGGTGTCTCCTTATGTAGAAAACACAACTCTCCTGACAATGCAATATACTCCTTTGTTCAGATTGGTTTTTCTTTTTTTTTCCCTTTGTTCAATAGAACGTCTAA